GTTTAATAAAAAATCATCTGTTCCCGAATAGATAGCGTTTGCAGGTGAGTTGTTTTATTCAGTATATATTATGATAATGTGTACGTCTGTATTTCTGGTTTGAAATTTACGAAATATACATTTACTAATAATATTTCATTGTTTCATATGAGATGTTGTGTACACTGTTACAAGCCCAATTGTGATCATTTATATGCTAGTATTCCATTTAACATTTCATGTTCAGGTGTATCTGTTGCTGTTAAAAATGATATTAGAACTGTGTTATGACTTAATTACTTCCCATTCAGTCACAATTCAGAAATTGGGACTTGTGGATTGATTTCTGTGCCTGCGCCCGTGTGTCCGTATTCACCCATATCTCGCATATACCCGCACCGATAAAATTCAAACTCAAAATAAATGTGCATCAGACATTTTTGGCAGCCAATTTAATCCACATTTTCACCATTCCGGAACAGGATCTCAGTCGTCTGTGAACAGACTTTATTTGAACTTGGTACATATTTTACACACAATGGGAACATTATTCACGTCATTTTATTTTCCGGATTAGGTTAGAATGTCCTGTAAATGTCAATCAGAATAAATAATGCAACAAACCACATTTCTGGTATTCATTAATGGATTTGGTTGAAATCTGTTGCATTTATCAGGGGGGACTTCTTCTCCACGGGGTTCTCCACACGTGTCAGGGGGGAATCTCGTCTCGTCTCTATATCGCGTCCCCTTGAGGTACGGGATCGGGAAAGTCACTAAAACTTTACAGTCAAATAGACACACACAACGAAATACGTTTCAACTCTCGTCTTAGTCGATCAGTCGAGCACTCTATAAGACACAGCGCCCTGTGGAAAATCCCCAAGACTATCGCAAGGCTGACCCGAGACTCGCCCAAGATTCTCCAGGACTGGACTCTCCACTGCGTCTATCGTGCTGTACTCGCCAAGACCAACTAAAACAACTTTATTCATTTTCAAAACTTTAACCAATTACAAAGCAGTAAAAAGACTCTATGGCGTGGCCTTCAATCATAAAGCCAATCACACTAAGTACTGAATACGTCATATCTTTTGATTAATCGTTCACTACATTAATAATTACGAATAC